TAATTAAACAGTAGGAAATGTTGAGGTAGTGCAGATGCTTTGCAAGATGATTTTACTTATTGAACATTTTTCACATTCATCGCATCAAAAATGTTAACCTTGAATGTAACAGCAATAATAACAAAAAAATCAACACATTGCCTTTTTTTCCGTATTTTCATATTGTTCAGTATGTTATCTGCTTTTTGCCTTTTAGAATTTTTGCAAATTAGGGTTCACCTTATCAGTTCAGTTTATATTCCTTTTTATTTTCTTTTTTTTTTTTTATATATTTCTGGATCTGGTTGTTTGTTCTTTTTATTTTGGATTTTTTTTCTGTAAGCTGTCTTTCCTGTGTTCCTCCCAGTATTTTTCTGCTCATTGTTATCTTTCTCCCGCTATCTACACCTAAATCCTCCTCATGTGTTGCTCATTTCTCACCTGATTACTCTTACCTGTTTACCTTTCGCCTTTTTCCACTTTTCCACTCCCAGTATTTCAGTAGCTGAATCACCACCGAGATTTTCCATTTGTTTGTCTCCTGTCCATTTTTTTTAACTCCTCACTTAGTTCTCATTAAAAGCTTTAAAACTCACCATGCCGCCCTTCAAAACATCACCCCATCCCTTTTATTTTAATATTTGGAGATGGAACAAAGTAGTACTCTACAATTGTCATTTAGACAATTTTGTTTGACTTTTAGGTTAATAATAGAAGATTTGATCATTTTGTGCATTTACACGACCCATTTAATACTGATACTCCTCAATAAAACAATTTAACCTTGAATATCTTCTATTACATCTTCTTCTATTCTATTTGAAGCTAAATGCTGGTGAAGATTCTAAGTCATCAAGGTCATAGTGATTCCAAAAAAGTAAAAAAAAAAAAAAAAGACAATCAACTGGACGTTGTTTGCAAGTTTAAAGCCCTTTCGCTTCCCATCCACAAAGATTTTTAATTCAAAATAAAATATGATCACTGTCTTTTGAATTGAAAAAGCTTCCTGGATGGGAAGCAAAGCATCTTCAAACTTGGAAACAGCATCCAGTGGATTGTTTTTTTTACTTTTTTGAAAGAAATATTTGAAGCTAACTATCTTAGTGTTTATACAACTGCTCTGTGAAGGTATCAGGATATTTGTTCAAGACCTAAAATCATGTTATGAGTGAAGCTGCGGGAAGGACGCAAATGCAAAAGTTGGAAGTTTGTAAATGATCACAGTCTTTTAGAAATTACCAAAAAATTATCAGGTTTAACATGGTGGAAGATGTTATAGCAAGGGGAGCTACTTAGGACAGGGAACAGTTATATTACAAAGAGAGCAGGAAGACTGCGGGAGGAAGACTAATTAGAACCAAGATGTCCTAAGAAAAAAAAAGATCAAAAACCACTTATGAAGCTTAAGCGAAAATTGATTGTGGAAGATTATTTATCAGCCTCACTTGGAACACCTGCTGACATACAAACATGTAAGCTTCAGCCAATTGACTGCACCCCTTCTGAAGCCAATCATTATTAAAGACGTTCTTCATTAAGGCCCACTTCCCCATTTAGCGCATCAGCTAAACTTTCACCCATCTCCGCCCCATCTCCTCTCTCACTCCTTGGACATTTTAACACCTGATGGTCCATAGACACAGATCGATTAGGGGCCATAATGGCAACATTGTTACAATTTGGAATTCATAAGACCCTTTTTTAAACCAAAAGAAACCTTTTGACCCACCTGTTTACTCCCTCTCATGAGGTGGCTCTGCATCAAGAACCACCGTAGAAAAACCGTTGGTAAACAGCACAAAACTACTTATTTGTCTCGGAAAAGGAACAAATCATGGAAAAGTGACAGATTCCAGCAGTGTCATGTCGTTTAGCAAGTTTACCAGAGAGGTGTTTCAAGGCCTGAGTGGTCTGGCAGGTTGATACACTGACAACAAATCGGTTATGTATTTGGGTGCTGATCAATTCAGGGATTTATAGACTAACAGAAGGATTTTAAAGTCTATTCTCTGAGTAACAGGGAGCCAGTGAAGGACTTCAAAACCTATGAAGACACTGATGCAGTAATCAATTCTACTAAAAATAATGTGTGAATGAATCTTTCTAAGTCCTGCTTAGACATTAGCCCTTTAATCCTTGAATTTTTTTTATGTGCCTCTGAAGGTTCAGGTCTGAGTCTGTTATGACACTAAGATTTCTGCCATAATCAGTGGTTTCTAGCTGCAGCTGAATCTCTGGATTTCTCATCCTTTGGTCCGAACATTATCTCTTCAATTTTGTTTTTATTCAGTTGGAGAAACTTATGGTGCGTCCAAATATTGATCTGTTCAAAGCATCCAGCCGAAGCTTTCATGGGTTCATAGTCACCGGTTGACATTGTTATGTAAAGCTGTGTGTCATCTGCATAGTTATAGTAAATGATGTTGTTGGAGGGGAGAGAGGGTTCCAAATGAGGGGGTGATGTGCGAAAAGCGGCACATTCAACTTAATTGAACTATTGTCAAGACTGCACAGACATCGAGCAAGGTATTTTTAATATATGAATAACTTATTTTATATCAATACGCAATTACAGTACAATCACAGCTTTTGGAGCACTCTCCAGTCCACTTGCTATTCACTTCAACCGAGACAAGACCAAGGGTTTGAGCCGGACCCAAGTTCACTTGGTTCACATCAGCATTTAATTGTGCATCCAGGCCTCCATAAACGAACTGAACTTCTGTCCAAATGAACTATGGTCTGATAACAGAGGACTAAACACAGTTGGTGTGGATTCAATATTCTTAGACCCGCTCCTCCTCCAGCTTACTCCACCAGTGTCCGGGTCATTTTATGTTGCACTTCAATACATTCCTTTACTGTATGTGCCTTAATTACGATAAATAAGCAGAATAACATGGAAATAGAATGTAAAAAACTGTTTAATTAGAATTCAAGCCTGGGAGGGTGCGTTGTAACAGTGTTAAGGAATATTTCAGAAGTCATGATTTATTTATATTCTCAAATGCAGAAAATATTTTTCATGCCTTTGTCTGCTGCTAACTTAATAAGTGTATTTCTTTATTTGCTGGTAGAAAATTCCCTCAGTGGTCTTCGTACAAAAACAAAAAAATTGCAGCCAGAGTTTTTACAAGATTTCTTAAAAATCATCACATCCCTCCCCTTTCTTTCTCATTGCATTGCCTATCTGTGGCTTTCAATGTTTGTTTTAAAATCTCTGGTCTTCCTCCATCATTTCTCTCTGAGCTCCTACCTGCTCCACCACTTCTTGCAATCTTAGGTCAGAGCTTCCACATTGTGTATTTCTTTTCCTTTAGTAACACAGGCGTAGCCAGTAAATTTTTATAAGGGTGGCCAGGCAATAACCAGGGGTGGCCGAAAGTGGATCGGTGCCAGAACCTCACGGTCAATCTACACTGTTCCAACAGGAAAATTAATGAGCAAAACATCCATATTTTCAAAATAAAGACAAACTATACATTCCCACACCCATATATCTAAACATCTGAGCTTTATAGTCAAAAGGTATAGTGGATAAAATTCAACTTTTATCAGTAATCATTCTGCATAAAATTTATATTTACAAGTACTAAATTATCTACATAAATTGATTATTAAGTTTTTATTAAAATAGTTACTTATCTTTGATTTCACCGAAGGCTCCTGGATGACTTGCAGTGATGCATCATTTCTTCTTTACCCCATAAAAAAAAACAAAATCTAGCTCTGAAAAGAGCATGAATTCTGTATTTATCAACTTAAATGTTAGTATACTGATGTGCATAATTAACCACAGTGTTTTTGCTATCAAGTAATTGTTCATATATGAAAATTAGATGAGATGAGATTACTTCTGTCACTGTCTGTATTAGAGGGAAATAAATGGTAGAGTGGCTACAGGTGTGGCCAATGATTGGCTAAGGGTGGACATGGCCACCCCTGGACCCCCATCTAGCTCTACCCCTGTTTTGTAGACAGGTCCAGTTATTGTCTTACTTAAAATAATTGTATATTTTATAACATGTGTTTTATGGTATTTTAATTTCTTCTTTAAATGCATTGATAGTTCTATCTAATTATTTTACATAGCTTATCTCTTATTTGATCTTAAATTTGACATATTTTGTTCATTCCCATTATTTAATTGTGCTTTTTCTTTCTTTAGATCTCGTTTTTACATAAATCTGTTTGTTTGTTTTTTTATTGTTTATTATGTTCATTTTCTTAAACTTTAGGCTATTCTTAACCCTGTATGACTCGTTTTTCCGAGGCATAATATAGTTGCGGCTCACTTGTTGTATAAACAACTTTACTGAACGCATCCAGACGCTGTAATGGCTTTAAAATAGATCGTTTATTACCCAAAACAGCCCGCTGTCTGTTTATTGCCCTCCCAACCTCATTTAAAGCCTCCTATGGTTGCTTTTATCGAAATGAACCAAATTGTTGAGCGTGTAACTAAATGAAACTAGTCAGAGAAATGCATTATGTGCAGGCGGCAACATTTTGAAACGAAATAATAAAGCATTAAAGTGCAATAACATGAGTCATGACATTAAAAGCTACTTTTCCGCTTTTAATTGAGTGTTTTCCTATATAACATCTCAATCGTTTCGAATCACATCCTGATGGATCACGTTTTAAATATATCAAATAATGCTTTTTTTTCACTGGATATTTATTGTGATTAAATTATCATGGAATAAATGCATGTGCGCAGGTGTAATATTTGATTTCCATTTCTGCTTTTTTGTTATTGTATTTTTTTTCCTCCTTTTTTTTTCTCAACTCCGTCTCCAGGTCAGGCGGAAATATTTTTACATAATCTGCAGGGCTGCAGATTGCAAGTAAAATATCGCGATGGGCAAGAATTTGCATCAATCTCTAACTTTGATGTAGCAGAACTCGCTTCGCTTTCCTCCAATCATCTTTCTGCAGAGATGAGGAGCGCGCGCGTTCACGTGGCAGGTATAAACAGCTGCGGCGCGCTCTGAGCTGACAGAAGCCAGAATAGGCAGAGGAAATGAGAGGGGAGACAACTAAGGCAGAGGTTTGCACCTGTGTCTGGACATTTTCATAAAGCCGCAGGGATATTCTATAAATGCTGCAATTGAAAACTTTCTTCACCATGTTTGCAGCTTCTCTGATTTTAAGGACATGATAGAAGAAGAGTGTTGCCATGTCGCTGAATGAGACTGGAGCCCAGACACTGGCCCCAGAGCCATGTGAGCAGCAGATACTACATGAAGAAAACAACTCTGGAAGTGGGAGTGGGAGTTCCACCAGCAACCTGTCCCTACATTGCTGGCTGCAGCTCCTTACCAGGGAATCTATTGTGGAATTACAAGGAGACAGCTCCAGTTTTGTGGTGCGTGTGATGATAGCGTGTGTGTACTCTATAGTCTGTGCTCTTGGGTTGGTGGGGAACTCACTGGCTCTATATCTGCTCCATTCCCGCCACAGGCAGAAGCAGTCATCCATAAACTGCTTTGTGATGGGGCTGGCAATCACAGACCTGCAGTTTGTTCTGACTTTACCCTTCTGGGCCGTGGACACAGCACTGGACTTCCGCTGGCCTTTTGGCCGGGTCATGTGTAAAATCATTAGCTCTGTCACCACCATGAACATGTATGCCAGTGTGTTTTTTCTGACAGCAATGAGCGTGGCAAGGTATTACTCCATCTCCACTGCTCTGAAGATGAACAGTCGGAGGACAGCTGCAGCCAGGGCTAAGTGGACCAGCCTTGGGATCTGGGCTGTCTCTCTGCTGGCTACTTTACCCCATGCCATCTACTCCACCAGTGCTGAGGTGTCGGATGAGGAGCTCTGCCTGGTCCGCTTTCCAGACTCGGGCAGCTGGGATCCACAGCTCCTTTTGGGTTTGTACCAACTGCAGAAGGTCCTCCTGGGGTTCCTTATTCCTCTAATCATCATTACTGTCTGTTACCTGCTGTTGCTGCGGGTCATCCTCAGTCGTCGCATTACAGGAGCAGCAGATCCAGAGGTCACCCAAGGCCGTTTGAACCGGCGCTCCAAAGTCACCAAATCCATTGCCATAGTGGTTTTGTCTTTCTTTCTTTGCTGGCTACCCAATCAGGCTCTGACACTCTGGGGGGTTCTCATAAAGTTTGACCTTGTTCCATTTAGCAAGGCGTTCTACAACGTCCAGGCCTACGCCTTCCCCCTTACCGTGTGCCTGGCGCACACCAACAGCTGTCTCAACCCTGTGCTCTACTGCCTGGTTCGCCAGGAGTTTCGAGCAGGGCTCAAGGAGCTTCTTCTCCGTGCTACCCCATCCTTCAGGAGCTTGACTCATCTTCTGCGTCGCAAGACTAAAGTGGCTGAGGCGCCACCCGTTCTGGTGTTGGTCCAGATGGATGTCTGAGCGTGACGAGGGGCATACACTGTGACAAAGAAACTACAGGAGAGAATTACTCAGAGACTGTACTCTGTGTATTGATGTGGAGCAGTTTTCTGAGGTATTGAATTTATTCCAGCTTTTCCAAAATAAATAAAAAAATCTAATTTCTCTGGTTTTTGAAAACAACATAATCACAGTGGATTATGCTGAGGGATCTGTACCAATTTCACTGCATCCACAAAGACTAGTTCTGCTTCTAGCCTTTGTTGTCCTGGTAGCTCTTCCTTTTATTCTATCTGAGAGAGAGCCCTGCTTTTGGTAAGGAAGATACACAGGCAACAATCTGAAAAAAGGGGGCATTTTCTTTCTCAAGATTGTCTCTTAGTGTTGTTCAGTCCAAATCTAAGGCATGTAATAATAAAAAAAGGGAAAAAGTTAGCGTTTTATCTGTGGAAAAATCGCCTTTAAATACAAGGAAGAGAAACCAAAAATTCAGCGAATATGTGTTTAATTAAGTAAAATGTCAATGTCTTTTATTTTTTATAGGTGTAAATGATACATCAGTAATTGTTTATTGTATTCTGTGTGAAAAATATACTCAATAATAAATGAATGAATAAATAAATGAAGAGCCTTGAAAATCCTCCACATAATTAGGCCTTGGCAAAAGAAGTGTACAGCTGTAAGGATACATGTTTTCCACAAGGACCAGAAGTCCTTGAATTTCCTACAAGATTTGTGTCAGTACATCTAATCGTGCAGCATTATTATAAGCCGAGCACGTACGCAGTGTGGATTACACAGGAATAAAAAAAAAAAAAAAAAAAACTGCTACTCATTTTAGCACTCCCACTTACTTCCAATGACGGCCACACTCAACGTGGTGTTTTCTCACGGTGGCAGTATCTTCAGATTGAACATGAATAATTTAGATTTTTGCATCAAACTTGCATAATTTTTAAACCAGGCCATTCACTGAGATAGATTAGATTTTTTGTATTTTTCTGAACAGTTTGCTGATATGACAACAGCATTTGGTTCTCTGGAAAATAATGCACTTATGCACATGTGAGAAATTATTCTGTTTTAATCATTTCTTTAAAAAAAAAGGAATCTTAATTATTTCAATTATTGGCTGATAGTGGAAATAAAATTGGAAATGAAATCTTAAAGGCAGGTCACACTGGCAGAGTACAAAAACAACACTGATGCTTGTGTCTTTAATCTCCCATTAATGAGACTTAATTTTTCTCATTCTGTGTTTGCACCATAGCTCTTCAGTCAATATCAGCATAAAAAGTAATCCAGGAACAGAGACGTGGGGTTTAAATTTTTATCACACAAAAGAAAGCTTTTCTTCTCTCATTGTGATGAGATGAGGTGAAAGAATTTGATATTTTCGATTTCATGTCACTGGCTCCCATGTTGAAATTTAACGTGATACAGTGATTTTAAGTACTCTCACATACTCCTGGTGTAGTAAGCTTCCTATACTTTTACCATAAACGATTATGAGCTAGATGACACTGCTGGGAAATATAGCTTTGATTTTAGTGCTACCAAAACTGTGCTTATTGATGCAATTTTTGTATGCCAGCTTGTGTTTTTATTTTATTTTATTCCTACTAAAATGTAGTAATGGACAAACTGCTCTGTGTTTTTTTTTTCTTTTTTGTAATGGCTTTCACAGCCAGCAGATAAATCTGGGTATAAATAATGCATGTGTTGTCTTTATTCATGAATTATTATTGATATAATAATAAAGAACTCCAGCTTTAAAAAGCTCCATGCAAGTTGAAGAGACAGTGGTTGTCACTTTGTTGATGGTAAATCAGGATTAGAGTATGTATATAAACAAGATGCCTTTATAATAAATCTAGTATTTAGACTTGCTGTTGGCCCAGTTGTCATTCAAAAAGAATTTCCCGTTATGTCCTGAGAAGAATATCCTTTCTGTGTGGAGGTCATATTCTCAGTATAAAATGATCCCCGCCCATAAACATGCAGTTTAACCAGTAAAAAACGCATAGATGAGGACTGAGCAGGAGTGTCTTTCCAGGATACTTTCAAATATTTTCATTTTGTTTGTATTGAAAGAATAATGAAATAAACAAGTTTGGCATACCAGCAATATATTGCCAGTATTACCATAATCGACTGTTTATGGAGCAACTGGAAGGGAGGTAACATAACAATTAACATCCCAAATAAACATCCTTTTAAGGGACATTTCTTTAGGTTGGCTATAATCACCTTTGGAATATAATATGCCCTCTGTCAGTATATTCATGTTATGCATTGTGGCCTGTAGTATCACAGATCTTTTTCACATATTGAGCTTTTGCAGCAGGGGTTTGTTATTATCCATTTGGTTATCTTTTTTTACCTATCTTTAATCTTAATTGAATTTGGTTCTATCCATTTAAGTGTCCAATTCTTGTCTAATAATCTGTCACCTGCTTTTTGTTGCACTTCTTTTTGTGCTACTGGAGACCAGAATCCCCTGTTTAGCATCCATGAATCCCCTTCACCCCTGTATATACTTAACTGTAAGTGACAATATACAGTATGTAGGTAATTGGCCTTTTATCACTTCTTCATCAGCTTTGTATTTATTTTCTGTCAACCTTCTCACCATCTGTAGGTTTTTGGATTTTAAAGAGATTCTATCTTACAACATTTTTTGCTTGTGGCTTATTATTACTTTCTCTTTACACCTTGATCATCAATATAACATATATTTTCAGCAAGCACGCAGTTCCACTTAAAATATTGGGATTGTAGTTTAGTAAACTATAATTATGGGAAAGTAAAACAGAAGAGGTATTTTTTTTTAAATATCACTTTCAAATAACTGATTTAGACACAACAATTTTTGTCTAATTTACCAGAATGCTTTTTAATTTTCTTCACTGTGAGATTATGCTACTGTACATGCTCAGTGTGAAGTATTGCTGCGGTCAGCAACAAAACATGAACAAATGTCTTTTGTCACCGCACATTCATCCAGGAGGAGCGAATCCTATATAATCCTTGATGCAATCAGCTGCATTTCCAAAGAAAATAAATACTTTTAACCAGTCTGACTGTGATTTCATTAAACTTTATATGTAAAGTGCCTTGTGATGGCATGTGTTGTGAATTTCTGCTTTATGAATAAACAATACTGATTTGAATTTCAAACAGTCGGTATGCCAAGCTTAAAGAAATGAATAGAAGCATAGAATTAGTTGATGTTATTGAGATTAATGAGATGTTGTTGGGACTTTTGAATAGAACTCTAAAAGAAAACTTTTAGTATTGGGTTATGAATAAACCTAATAAAAGAATATAAGTGATAACATAATTAGCAGTATAATATAGAATTCAGAGGTTTTCACAAAAACATAGGAAACAAAGAGTTTAGTTAGGTTTGTTTTGCAGTTTGACTATAAAATAAAGATTCAGCAGATTGCATGTTGGATGCAGGAATGGTTTCTTAAACTTATTGGAAGTAATTGCTTCCTTTTACTTCACCTGTGGTTCAAGGAGCATAAAATTTTAAACATAAATTGTGAGCTGATTCATTATTGCTGATATGATTCTGCTCATACAGCCAGGTTTGTGCATTGCATTTTACATCAAACTATTTATAACCTGCTTCATCTCACTCTTGACTTGTTCTGTCCCTCGATTAACAGGTATTTTAAATACAATAATCTAACACCATTTATCATTTCTTAACCTCTTTTTGTAATTTGTTAAAATCACAGTTTATGCATTATTTGCACCCTAATCATGTTTATACTCTGCCTTGCAAATCAGGGGAAATAAAGATTTGCCATGGCTTGCTGGAAAACAACCAAAAGATCCCTAATGAATTCCAAACATGCATAGTTCATAAAAATAGCACAAAAAAAAAGATTGCATGCATCACAGAGAGAACGTACTTCTTATTCTACAAAACGTGCAGCCTGCTTATTTATCCTGCTTGAGACTCAGCTAACTATTGATGTCCAGGATGATCAAAGACATACCAACAATATTACTAGCCACTCTCCTCTAAGCATGCAGCTCACTTGGGAAACACAATGATGCTTTCGAGGATTTTTATTCTTTAATTAATCCTGCAGGGATGCAATATTTATGGATCAACTGAGGAAATATTGTGTAGTTTATGAAAAAGTTATAAACTTTTAGCAACTAAAACAACTTTTAAACCTTTACAGCAAAAAATTCAAACGTCCTTCACAAAGGACACATAAATAAACTGATTTAAAGGAGAGCCTAGGAAGTGGTACCAGGAGGTAGTGAACAACTACGTTGATCCTTCATATTTCTGTAAGAAAAAAAAAGAAAAAAGCATAGCAAAAAAGGCAAGGTTTCTAGCAGTTTTCGCACCTTCAAAGTATCCATTTATGTATTGCTGACCTGTTCTCCTTAAAAGAGGTGCAACCCCTCTAAGAAAGATATGTGGTGATGATGAATAAGCAAGTTAATGGATTTTTAACTGAGAGCAGGCAGATTAATCAGCATGCAATTACTGTAAGTACCATTCACGTCAGGCTGTTTGATCAATACTTATTTAAATTCCTTCTGTGACAGGAAGTAGTAGTAGAGGTTATGCCGCACCCTTGGTTGTGACCTTTTACTAAGGACTAATGATAGCCTAACAACACTTGAATCTCTAGAATATTTAATTGCCTCTCATTAGCGATACCCAAGCTCGAAGGCAGAATGAGAGCTGACAATTTCAACCATGGGTTTGGCAGCTTCTGAAAGGTAAAGGATGTATTGAACCTTCTCTGGTTCAGATCTTATCCAGGCAGGGTAAAAGTAAGTAAAGGTCAGACAAAACTTCATCACTATAGAACCTTTCCACATGCAGCCAAAAAACACATTGGTCAATGCAACCAAAAGATTGGTTCAATTTTACCAATTCAACCAGTTATGTATCCAACAAATAATTTGGTTAAAACAAGCAATGTAATATGTTAGTGTTTTCCATCTATTGTTAAAAGGGAAAAAACTAAACAAATTAGTCACTTTGACCCCAAATTTTTTTAATTAGTGTAACTATATTGCAAGTCAGAAGCAAGGCTTGATCCACCAACCCTTTGGTTGCAGGGCAAACTCCAACATCCAACACCACTGTCCCCTCTAATTGCTTCTTGGTATTTACTAATTATACTAATGTTACAACCAAGGTCAAAGCCAAGATTTGCATGTCGTACATGTACACATCACTGCAATTGT